TATTTTTCATTTTGACACTCCAACTTAGCCTTGTTCCATTTCAACCCTTAAACTCCATTTTTTCTGTACCATTTAAACACTAATACCAATTTTTATGATTTTTTATTTATTTATGTTCTTCAATTGCAATTTTTTATTTTAAAAAAATATGTGTGTGTCTGTTAATTTTCGTAAAAAAATTAAACATTCGCGAACGAACATAAAATTTTTCAAATAATAATATTATTTTTTGAGATTTCTTTGTATTTTTGCATGAAAGTAAATTGACGAAAGTTCTTTGATTTTCTTTCTTAAACATTCAATTAAATTAAATAACACTACTTATTTATTATTTCTTATCATCTAGGCTATCTAAATTTAACGCAAATAGTCACTTTTTATTTTTAATATAAATCAATACGAATAAAAAAACTCATCTTCAATGCGAGTAAAAAAGACTCTTGTTCATTGCTAATAACACTACTAAAAAATGTTAAAACTCAACTGACTTTAATTTGTTAGATTGTCGGTGATTTTTAAGAAAGAAAACCAACACAATTTCATCGGTTATTTTTCACATAAAAATACATAAAACTCTTAAAAAGAAATTATTATTTTTTAAAAATAATTAGTTTTTGTTAAAAAATTTTTAACTAAAATTAACTGACACATGTCAATTTAAAATAAGAAGTTGCAATTGAAGAATATATATAAAAATAAAGAAATCATAAAAATAGTATTTCATGTTAAAATGATACATAAAAAATGGAGTTTAAGGGTTAAAATGGAACAAGCCTAACTTGGAGTGCCAAAATGAAAAATGAGGGCAAGTTAGAAGGGTTGTATATGTGTTTGGCCACATTATTTCTTTTCAACGGTCCTTAATTACTGAAGTACTGGTTTTATTTGTTCATTATATTAAAAAATATATTATTATTTTATCTTCATCAATTTTGGTATAACTATATATATAAATAATGTTTTTATACTCAGTATTAATTATCTATTTTTCAAAATTATTTTTCACAATTTTTAACTACATCAATTAATATGAATATAATACTCGAATGATCGTGTTAATTTTTATTTCTTAAAAATATGCAAAATCTAAAATGAACAATTACCAAAAAGGAAGGGAGGGAGTGATTTTTTCCTCTATAAAATCTTAGATGTTTTTTTCAAAGAGAGACACCAATTTAATTAAATGTATCATTCTCCTAATTCTATGGGCAGGGAAGCTCACCTGATTTTGTTCCATCTCTAAGCAGATCACGTTATTAAGAAGCTCATTATCGAGTTTTCTTTCTCTATTGCGTTAAATTCAATGTCAAGTCAAATTGAATCGAAGAAAATACCTTCTTCTTTTCAATTTCTTTTTTAGTCTGTTTCAAAAAAATATATCTTTCTTTTTTTTTGTTAACTTTTCAGTTATAACTTTCCACGTGATATGTGTATTTGACATATCTTTAGTTTATGAGCATAAAATTCAGAAGTCTTTTTTACTTTCTTAAATTATGTGTCAAGTCAAAAGATTACGAAGAAAGTAGTAACGTTCTCCGCTATAAAATAGTGGATGTAACTAAGATATTCATCAGGACACCAAATTTATCTCTCTCCTAATATACAATGTTATTAAGAAGCTCATCATCATCGAGTTGCATACTTAATTCATGGATATCCAACGTTAGGACCCCATTATCAACGTCCATTCAGCTTAATTATGATGAAAATTACTGTTATTGCAATATGCGAGAAATGGACGGCCCTGATCATAAGAAAAATAATAATCACATGAACAAAATAAACATAAGGAATTCTTATTCCAACATAGAATTATCATCATCAACTTATAATGATGAAGTTAAGACGACGGAGGATTATTGCGCTGCACCGGAAGACGGAGGCGGAGGTAAAGTGTACAACGGTGGCCGGTGGACCGGTGGTGGCGGTGGTGGAGATGATTCTGGTTCGGGTTCAGGTTCAGGTTCTGATGATTCAAATGGTTGGCATGGGAATGAAAATACAGAAGCGTATTACAAGAAAATGATCAAAACTTACCCGAGAAATGCACTTTTACTTGCAAACTACGCAAGGTTTTTGAAAGAGGTATGAATTAACATTATATCTTTCATAACTACTGCTTTCTCTGTCCAATTTTAATTGTCATGTTGCTTTTTTCAAAAGTCAATTTGATTAATTTTCAAAGTTAAATCAGATTACACTAATTTGATATTTTAAACAAAATTTAGATATTCAAAAACTATTCGAAAAACACTATAAATTGCAATTTTTTGCATATCAATATGATGTAAAATACATCGTAAAATGTTAGTTAAAATTCTTATCGTTTGACTCTAAAAAAAAACATGACAATTAAAAGTGGACGGAGGTAGTATTTCCTTCCCGTCTATGATTACATGTTCAGAGACAATGGATAAAGTAGTAATTTTACTATATTATCCTTAATTATTGCTCTTTTTGTCTTTACGTGACAATTTTTTACTTAGCGTGCACAAAGTCAACGTTAAATACTTAAATTATTTCTAATAATGGAAGTGTTAGATTCTTTTTGAGACAGGCGCTAAAAATAAAAATGCCACAAAAATTGATAGTAAAAAGTACTGTACTTAATAATAAGAGTAAAATAGGTATAAAGTAGTAATATTTCTTGAATTCCTAACTTTACAAGTAAAAATGGATATTTTAATATAATAGACAAATAAAAATAAACAAAAAGAATATTAATATTGTTCTCTCTAGTCCAGTTTGTTTGTCTAATTTCTCTTTTTGATCAATTTAAAAAGATGCACTCTTTCCTTTTTGGTAAATACTCCTAAATTTTAAGATCATAAATTTTAAAAAAAGCTAATACATTTTATATGTGTTTAATTTAAGATTTTCTTTACTTTTAAAAATTTCATGATAAGTCAAACAATCATATTGAAATATGATTTGTTTTTATCAAAATAAGTGTAATTAATATGGAGATTATGTTTTTGAAAAAACAGGTTAAGGGGGATTTAGTAAAAGCAGAGGAATATTGTGGAAGAGCTGTAGTGGTAAATCCAAGGGATGGGAATGTGTTGTCACTTTATGCAGATCTAATATGGTTAACTCAAAAAGATGCATCTCGTGCCAATGCTTATTTTGATCAAGCTGTTAAATTTGACCCTCATGATTGGTATAAACCTTTTTAAAAAATAATTAGTCCGTTTCAATTTACGTGACACTTTTTGGATTTCGAGATTCAAACAAGTTTATCTTTGATTGTAAATTATTTTGAATTGTCGATTATTGTGACTTATAATACTTTTTACATAGTTTATAAATATATAAATTTCATTTCAAAAAAAATAAAAATTCCACGTGCATATTTCCGATCAAATTTAAACTGTTTTGACTCTCGAAAAAAAAAAAATGTCACATAAATTGAAACAGAGGTAGTAAATCATTAATCTTAAAGAATTAAGTGATTGAAATTCAATATTTATTGAGAGCATACTTTCTTTTAATTATAATACATGGATTTTTATTGTTGCGCAGTTATGTAGTGGCATCATATGCTAGGTTCCTGTGGGATGCTGAAGAGACTGAGGAGGAATTGAAGTAAAAGAGCTAAGTGGAATTATAGTATGCACGGATTCCTACCTCGTGAAGATGGAGAAGTTGTTTTCGAAAGATACTTAAAAACTAGTCACTCGTCAAATTAAATGAACACTTTAAGTTTAAAAAAATCACAATTCGAAAGGCAATAATGCACGAGGTCGAATGAATATTAAAAAAATTATCATTATTCGAATCATAGTGGATGAATTCGATCATAATGGTTTTTGGTTACTTTTAATTGGACTTTTTAAAACATGTGAAATTTATTTTTCGAAATTATGATCAAATTAAAAGTTTGAACTCTCATAATCTAAATTTTTTCACATAAATGGAAAAGAGGGAGTGTATGCAATCCTTTATTGGGCTCTAGAAAGTGGAAATTCATCCTTAAATAAACTGGCAAAATATGGGCCTGACCGATGACTGTTTCTGAGCCAATTGTGACAATTAAGTCCTACTCCAGATTGTCTTTTTATTTTCTTCTTTTTCTGCTGGTTATTATTTTTTTGTCCGTCTAGATATGTGATATGAAATCAAATAAATATGTAGTTGAATTTTATTTAGATATGCAATTTGGATTTCTTAATTATTTTTTCTCATAGTCACAAAACCTTCACAAGATATACATTGAAATTTCTCCAATTCTTATAGAATCGTATCAAATGAATGAACTATAATACCATAATCCATAAATAGGATATCAAAATATCCTAGGCCATCACATTGATTAATCATATATTTTCATGTTCATTTTATTAAAAAAATATTTTACAAATTTTCAAATATATATAATTTTATAAAAAAAATAACAAGTTTAAAATCTCAAATCATGCTTTGGAGAATTTAAATATGAAACTATATTTAAAATCATAATTTATCATATAAAATTGTATACATAAACGCATACTTAAAAGAACCAATAAGAAAATCTTTGTTAAGATCTAAACCACACCCCATATGCAGTGGCGGAGCCACATTATCATTAGGGGTTCGTCCGAACCCCCTTCAGCGGAAAATTATATTATTTTTGTATAGTTAAAATAATTTTTTAGGTATATATAGTAGATGTCGAATCTCCTTCGGCTACTTCGTGTGTCTATTTCTTCAATTTTTGAACCCCTTACTGATAATTCTGTCTCCGTCACTACCCATATGAACTCTCAAACTTGTTTATACGCTATATATATCAAAAAAAAATTCCTTTTTAGTCTATCCCAATCAAACTGTCACCTTATTATAATTAAAAATAATTTAACTTTAAAATATTCATTTAAATTCTTAATAAAATGATTTTCAACTACATAATTATTTTAAACGATAAATTCTAATATTTATTTTATAAAAATACCGTAACAAATCAATAAAATTAAATGAACACTTTAAGTTTAAAAAAATTAAATGAACACTTTAAGTTTAAGATGCATCTCGTGCCAATGCTTATTTTGATCAAGCTGTTAAATTTGACCCTCATGATTGGTATAAACCTTTTTAAAAATAATTACTCTGTTTCAATTTACGTGACACTTTTCGGATTTCGAGATTCAAATAAGTTTATCTGTGATCGTAAATTTATCATATATCTTTTAATTATTTTGAATTACTGATTATTGTGATTTATAATACTTTTTACGTAGTTTACAAATTTATAAATTTCATTTCAAAAAAATAGAAAATTCCACATGTAAATTTCTGGTCAAATTTAAACTGTTTTGACTCTCGAAAAATAAAAAATGTCACATAAATTGAAACTGAAAGAGTAAATCATTAATCTTAAGGAATTAAGTGATTGAAATTCAATATTTATTGAGAGCATACTTTCTTTTAATTATAATACATGGATTTTTATTGTTGCGCAGTTATGTAGTGGCATCATATGCTAGGTTCCTGTGGGATGCTGAAGAGACTGAGGAGGAATTGAAGTAAAAGAGCTAAGTGGAATTATAGTATGCACGGATTCCTACCTCGTGAAGATGGAGAAGTTGTTTTCGAAAGATACTTAAAAACTAGTCACTCGTCAAATTAAATGAACACTTTAAGTTTAAAAAAATCACAATTCGAAAGGCAATAATGCACGAGATCGAATAAATATGTAGTTGAATTTTATTTAGATTTGCAATTTGGATTTCTTAATTATTTTTTCTCATACTCATAAAACCTTCACAAGATATACATTGAAATTTCTCCAATTCTTATAGAATCGTATCAAATGAATGAACTATAATACCGTAATCCATAAATAGGATATCAAAATATCCTAGGCCGTCACATTGATTAATCGTATATTTTCATGTTCATTTTATAAAAAAAATATTTTACAATTACAAATTTTCATATATATATAATTTTATAAAAAAAATAACAAGTTTAAGATCTCAAATCATGCTTTGGAGAATTTAAATATGAAACTATATTTAAAATCATAATTTATCATATAAAATTGTATACATAAACGCATACTTAAAGAACCAATAAGAAAATCTTTGTTAAGATCTAAACCACAACCCATATGCAGTGGTGGAGCCACATTATCATTAGGGGTTCATCCGAACCCCATTCAGCGGAAAATTATATTATTTTTATATAGTTAAAATAATTTTTTAGGTATATATAGTAGATGTCGAATCTCCTTCGGTTACTTCATGTGTCTATTTCTTCAGTTTTTGAACCCCTTGCTGATAATTCTGGCTCAGTCACCTTATTATAATTAAAAATAATTTAACTTTAAAATATTCATTTAAATTCTTAATAAAATGATTTTCAACTACATAATTATTTTAGACGATAAATTCTAATATTTATTTTATAAATACCGTAACAAATCAATAAAATGAAACGAAGGAGGTATCCTCCGTACCAAACGAACCTAAATCATAAAATTATATTCATATGTCATGTCCAAAAATTTAAAATATGATAAAGTCAGAGTATCCGGACGTAAAATTCATATTCCAATTCGATTAATAGCGCATAATTGGGGGAACCAATATCCGAAACCATATCCATTAACCACGGGTCCCATGTTTGATGTTCCCCCGCAGGCCGTACGAAATGGTTCTCCATAGAGCGTGCATTGCACCACCTCAAATCTAACGACTGAAAATCTTGCGTGAACGGCACGCTCTTTGTCGAGGATGGGAAATAATAGACAGCATCATAAGTGTCCACATCACTTCTAGGACCTTCTATAAAGGATTTTTAAAATATGTTTTAAAGATATTTAGTGGAAACAACTTTAAACTAACGAATCTTCACCTTCGAATATGCCATTTGGCACATCTAGGATTAAGATATTTAGAAATTTTTAATTATAAAATAAATCAAATCATTTGTATTTCGAAGAAGATTGTGTGGCATGATATTTTTATCATTATAATATAGCCTTATTATGATCTTGAACTTGAATATTGCATAAGATTTGTGTGGTTATTAAAAAAATATATTACTCTCTGTCTTATTTACTTCACATCCTTTGACTAGGTACAAATTTAGAAAAAAAGAAAGATTTTGAAATTTAAGATTTAAAACAATTGTTAGATATTTATCTGACTGATAATCATTTTATCAAAGGTAAAAATTCTTAAAAATAGAATTTTAAAGTTAAATTATTTCTAATTATAGTAAAATGACATTTTTTTAAAGGCGAATTAAAAAGAAAAGGATGTCACGTAATTTATGTGACACTTGATTTTCTTAGTCAATTTCAAAAATATATCATTTTATTATAATTAAAATTAACTTACTATAAAATATATTTTTATCTTGAATGTAATAATTATTATCACAAAAATATCTAAAATTTATATTAAATTAAAATATTATATATTTATTTTCCTTAAATATCATGTTAAATTAAGTGTCAGGTAAAATGAGAAAATGAGATAGAGGAGGATTAGAAAGAGGCAATACATAAATATAACCCTTAACTTGACGTCAGCTGACAACTATGACCTTTAACTTTGGGTGTGCACAAATAGACACTTAAACTTGTATAAATTGAACAAATAAACACATTCGTCCTACATGACACCCAATATGAAAAATTTGTGTCTTACGTGGCATCCTACATGTATTATGTCATTTGGACAGATGTGTCTACTTGTTCAATTTTATACAAATTTAAGGACTTACTTGTGTACACTCAAAATTGAAGGACATAATTGTCCGTTAAAACTAAGTTGAGAATCATATTTATGTATTATGACTTAGAAAGAGCATAGGAGAAAATTGTCGGTTTGGATTGGATGTGTTAACTGATAAGGCTCGTTTGTCCTTGAAAGTTGGCTACGTGGCACGTGTGGTCTATCTGTTTCACGGCGTGGCGGTTGCTATCAGCCAAGTTTTATCTAAAGCAAAAACACAACCTCTTTACTGCAACTTCATACATGCTCATCACAAACTTTTAGTTGAAATTCTGTCTTAATTTCTTTCTGAATTTTACTTGAAACAAAGTTGGAATTTTGTTTTTTTTTGGGTCAATTTTAAGGATGGCAAGTCCTATGGAGAAGGGGAGTCATGATGATGAAATTGTGTCGGTGGAGCTTGCTGCACCTCCTTCATGGAAAAAATTGGTACTCAATAATTTTCTTTCTCAATTTTGCTTGTAGCCATCATGTTCCTGTAATTTTTTGCTCTTTGGTTACCTTAATTCATGTTCTATGGTAGCTTGAACTTTTATAGGTGTTGGTCAGCTTAATTATTTTGTCTTTTGGTTCACAAAATTCATGTAGTAGGAAGCATAATCATGTTTCTGGTTGATAAAAGTAGTTTTTTTTTAGTTTCTTGGTGGAAAAATTGGGTTTTTTGAGGGAGTTTCACTGTTACTAAGTGCAGCATCATCAATTAGCTTTGCATCTCTCAGTAAATTTGCCTCTTTAAGTCTTAGTTAACTTACTGATGCAGTATAATTAGTTATACTGTATTGGCTAATCAAAGGTTGGGATGAAATGAGCTAAAAGAGCGCGATCTGAACAGGTTGATTGTCAACCTTCTACTTTGGGCTAAGATAATTACTTGGAAGATAAAAGATAAACTGACGAATAGAGGCCGTGGTGTCCGGGCCAGCTTTTGTGCACCTTGACTAATTTTAGGATATCTGTCAATTTCCACCAACAATAAATATTAGGTAACTCTATCCATCAAGGCTAGATGAATGGAAAGAATCACCTAATGTTTTTGCCTCCGCTGTGATTTGAACCTTACCCTTCATGGCTCTCAATCACTTCATTAACAGCTAGGCTACACCCTGAACCAACCAATATTGACCGGGGTATTAGTGTGTTGGGTCATAACCATAAAACTCGATCCTTCTATTTGTCACCCCTTGGAATTCCTTGTCTTTAAACCTCAAAAGATGAAAAGAGAGAGCCTATGTTCCTGTTCATATTTTGGTTGCGGTCTTTAACATTTTTCCTGACAGCTTAGATGGTCCATCTTTAGAATCATGATAGGGGAGTCTAGCCTTATATTTAAGAACTGTGAAGTCTATCACTATTAATGCAACTCTTCCTATTCATCAAGAAATCAGCAAATGACCTTAACCTTACATGTGAAAGGTAGAGAGAGTAGTTTATACCTGTGCTGAAGATGGATAGTTGGACTACGTACGTTATGTAGTGTACTCTAGACATTCTTGGGAGACATAGGAGTAGGCCTATTTAAGGGAATTCAAAATGTGCTGTTGTGTAGCTTACATGTACACCTGACGTATATTTTACCTCTGTCACTTTGCAGTTCACGCCAAAGCAAGGGGGTACACCAAAGAAGAGTGAGGTTGTATTTATCACTCCAACAGGAGAGGAGGTCAAAAACCGCAAACAGTTGGAGCAGTATCTCAAAGCACATCCTGGAAACCCTGCTATTGCAGAATTTGATTGGAGTACTGGTGAGACTCCAAGGAGATCAGCAAGGATCAGTGAGAAGGTCAAGGCAAAGAGACCACCTTCACTACTTGAATCACCAAAGAAAAAACGCCGGACATCATCTGGTACAAAGAAAGTTAGCAAGGAAAAGGATGCTGCAAAAGCTGAGAAGGAAAGTTCAGAAACTAAAGGGATGGAATCTTCCAAAGAAGAAAATGAAAACTTGGGGAAGAAAGCTGGAGAAGCAGAAGGTGAAATGGAGGACGAGGGGAAGAAAGAGGTGGAAGCTGTGGTAGAAGATGAGCGCATAGAGGATGCTAAACTTCCCCCTGCGGAGAAGCCAGATTCTGAATCTGAGGAATTTCACAGTGCTGATGACGGCAATCAGGACAAGTCGGAACATGCAGAAGCTGAAATGGAGGACAAGAAGAAGAAAGAGGTGGAAGCTACGGAAGAGGATGAGTGCTTAAAAGGTGCTGAACTACCCTCTGGGGACAAGCCAGAGCCTGAATCTGAGGAAGTTCACAGTGCTGATGTTGGTAAACAGAACAAGTCAGAAAATGCAGATATTGAGGAAAAACAAGTATCTGAGGAAAAGCTGGTGTCTCAAAACAAACCAGAAGAACTCGCTGCAGAAGGGACCAATGTCACCATTGGAGGAAGTGCCAACCAAGCAGAACATGCTGTTGACGGGGTATCTAAGGATGCCCACAGCAATGATAGTGAAGATAGGCCAAAAGAGGAGAAAGAAACGGAAGGAACTGATTTAGCTATGGAAAATAACAATATTAACCAACCAGGGTTGGTTCATTCACAGCAGCATCAATCACCTGCGCCTATTAGCTGTTGATGCATCATCCGCATCACCCTTAGGACATTTCCTGTTGCATGTTTACTGACTTTTAGATTCAATTTTATTATTGTAATAATAGTAAACTTCGATTCTCTGGTAGTTTAGTGTAGTTTCCTGGACTGCAATACTCCCATCGTTATGTGTATGTATTTGTTTCTGTCGTGGTACACTTCATCTGTTATTAAACCTTGATGTAGAATGTTTTAGGAGATTACTTGTGACTTGCAGAGTTCTATTTGCTATAACATGTCTGGTGAGTCGTGACTAGCGACTATAACAAGCTTTCAAATCGCCCCTTTGTGATGTGCAATTTGTTCATAACTGTATTTTCTGGGGGAAATTGAAAATTATAACATACTAACGCTATAGTAAAGGTTTTTTTTACAGTTGAAAAGAATGAAATCAATGACTATGCTGAAATGAAAAGTTCTAATCTGCAGAGACACTTAAATATTCACCATTTTCGTGCAATTTCGAGTTATGAAACGCACCGTTAGTAGTGCCATCAGGACTATCTGCAAGCAATTCCTTTTTCTTGTTCTCCTCATATTTTCCAGACAGAGAATCAAACAAAATTCCAGCACCAACTCCAACAGCCAAATCAATAGTGTAATGGCCCCTTGTACTCAACAATCTGACCGTCTGCAATACGTTCAAGGTGTCAAATAAATAAGACAATTTCCATCTCTGCATACGCTTCATATCCAGCGATGCAATCACTGATGCTGCAACATGCCCCGAATAGAACAAGAAAAACGACACGTTTCCTACTGGAAAATCAGCTCCCGACCCCAGGAAATCCTACATTTACAAATCGGAAAACAATCAGAACCCTGAACAAGTAATGTTCCTGTGCAAATTTTCTACTTTCAACAATGCATGATGCTTCGTGTACTGAGATTTTCTTTTTTCTTGTTAAGGAACAAAATGGAAATAAGATTCTTGTATACATTTATTGGTTTTTGCTTACCTCTGGTAATGGCAGCTGCGTAGAATATCCAAGAATACCTCTACATGTGAACATGAACAGAGTTGCGATAGTCGCTCTTGGTCGCCCTTCAATTAAGAAAGCCCATACTATGTACACCATTTGCATCCCAACAAACCCCTGTATGCATCGGAGATGAATCAATGAATTGACAAATTGTAAAACAGAACCAGAAAAAAATGTTGCAATGCATAAATCATATTAGATCTGGTATCAATTGTGTGACCATTTCATTTAAAATGCGTACCGTATTAAGGCCAGCAAGAACAGTGTTGAGAGCAGGTTTCGAATCAAGCAAACAATGCAGGGGACGCGTAGCAATGAATCCCAGATCGAAAGGCGGGGACGAAGATGGAACCATATGAAGAGTGTATTCCACACCCATGAAGAAGAACAACGTGGTAGCGAAGATGCACGGTATAGGATGGTACTTCACCACACCGAATACATCCCTAGCCGTCAATCTCATGAAAAATGTATTGCTCAACCACCCTGAATCACCGAATTCTGAGGGCGGTCTTTTCTTCATGTCAGTAATTTTATTGTCATCTTTCATTTCCATGTTTTCAAATTGGAGTTCGTTAACGGAGTAATGTGATCTAGTGTTGAGGCTAGATGAAGAAGAATAACGAAGATGGAGATTTTCTACGTTCATTTCTGCCTTTTAAATTTCCTGGAATGAACGAAGACATGACGAATGGCACTATAATGTTACCAATAATTGTATTAATCCAACCGCATATGTCTTTCTCCGAAATGTGATCAGTATTAATGAAAATCCAGTAACGGAGATTCCGAAAAGGATCCTTATTGAGGAAATCTCAGATCTCACTTTGAAGCTAAAATCACAAACAAAGAGGTGTTGAATATTTGATATGGAAGGAAAATGAGGAGCTAATTTGCAGATTTGGTTTACAAGGAATAAAAGGAAGCAGGGCTTGTAACGAATAGATAAAAGGGCTCTTTCAATTGGCTGTTAGTTTAATTCTTATGGTAAATACTTATTTAATTACTCCCACCGATTATTTATACCAAACTAATTCAATTTACTATAATTATAAGTAGCTTAATTAAGTAAAAGCTTGGATTGATGAATTAAAATAAATCAGAGACAATGAGGAATTATAGACCAAAATAAAGTCCAATAATCTATAATAAATCAATGCAAACGTGTCAATTGTCAAATTTCTGCTCAACTATACCATTTGTCATCGACCACTTAGAATATATAAGTTAGATTACTCTTTAAGAACTTAAACATTATTTAAGAAAAATAATGGAGTAATACTTTATCATATCATACGAGAGAGCTGCTCTTTACAAACTATTTACTTTATTTGGATTTTGATCCTTTGGCACATTTTTGAGCATATTGATTATTGAGCAACGTTTATGAATATATAAGACATTGTTTTCTTCAATACATTTATATAGGTTACAATCTTTATGTTTGGACATAAGAGTATATGAAAGCTTAGACGAATTAGGAGAAGACGAAGTCACAAGTCAAAATTTAACAAGATGATATGATGAAGAAAGGCTTCAAAGACATTTTTGATTTCGATATAAATTAGTTAGTAACAGAACGTTGTCAAGTTCCCTTTCGTATTGTCAATATTATCTCTTACCATCTTTTTTCTTCAATTTTACTTGTAGACAAATTTTTGAGCGAAATGATCATATCATTTGATAAACAGATTGCATTTCATTTACACCAAAACAGCAACCAGAACAAAACGGGTGCAAAACAGTGTGTGTGTACAACAACTACACATTACTGCAAAAACTCAGTAAGATACCAGAGCCTGATGACTCTTATCATGTCAGTTAGGGATACAAGTCCTTCCAGCAAGCCTTGTTCATCCACCACCCAAACACGATGCACATTGTCTGAAACAACTTTCTCCACCACTTCCCCGAGTGACGATTCTGGATGGCATGTCACTTGTTCCCTCCATGAAGATCTCATCCCGGTATTAGACAGCATTTTCAAGAAATCAAGGACCTCTAGATTCAGTAGAGGCTGCATTTTCGATACAGGACATCCTCTCAAGTCCGTTGCTGAAAATGTTCCTACAATCTTCCTCTTTTTCCCCTGCAAATTTCATGGAAAACAAGAATCATTATATTGTTATTGTTAGCGTATATAAATTAAATTCAAACACTTACATTTACAAGCTGAGTATGATCTTCTGTTATTTCATTAGATGACTCCACAATTGGTACTGCATTTAGCGAAGCTGTTCTCATGCATTTGATCACATCGATAACTTTAGCCTTATTAGTCACACCGAAAACAGTGTCTGTGATTGCTTGCAGTTGTTTATCCGAGACCTTGTGCGACATGATAGCTTTAAGCTCCTGCTGGTCATTCAAAAACCTAAGCAGATCCATTTGTGTTAGCATTCGGTAACATGATGCAGACTCAGTAAGCTCAACACCAACTACATTTTCTGATCGTCCATTCACTGGTACCATGGCTCGATGTATGCCTTTGCTGAAAACTTCCATACAATCCACAATGCTTCACATATAAACCAGCAATTCGTAAGATACATTTGTGAAATTAGATAATAGTGACAACCTTGAATATCATCCAAAATAGCAGCAAGGACGTACTCAAAACTTCAGTGATTTATTGAAGTAATCATATATTTTTTTAAAAATAAAAATCCTTACTCCGCCACTACTCATTCCAATCTGATAGATTAAAAGTAATTGCCAACAACATCCACTACATTCTAGAGGATTGATTTTGTAGGTCACGTATAATTTCTTAATTTTTTTAGTTTTGTGATCTCTTCTTCATTTTTACCCATGAGGAAAACATCAGTTTGTATTTTTGTAAGAGATCTCAATTCCTCGCTACATACCTCGTGTTAGGGCTGAGGGTCCACAAACTAAGACTTTCAAGACAATGCCCAATAATCGAAGAAATAGGTACCATCATCTTTTTCGTAAGATGAGCATCATCATCATCACCACAACCATTTCCAGCAATATATGCGAGAATATCAAGCATAGTTACCATCCCTATATAATGTTTCCGTACAGCACCCGTCTGTTTATCAGCTTCTAAAATCATAGAACCGCCGGCACCAATCCAGTGCCCAGGCGGTGCAGCCACCGGAACCGCCACCACCTTGTTAGCCATCAGAGTATTTATGGTGTCTGCCAGCGTGGCTGTATATGGAACCTCCACAAGTCTCCTTTTATCAACAATTAGATCCTTCACCTGCTTGTCTTTAAGCATCTGATGCTTCTGAGATCTACGGGGGCTTCCCGCCGCTTGTATCTCCCCTGTTGCCTGCATTTTGTTTGTATGAGTATATTTTTTTTTTGTGTTTGTGATTTTTCAGATTTGGGTGAAAACAAAAGGGAAGTTGATAAACTGAAAGTGCACTAATATAGGTTCATATGTGGCTTAATACGTGTCAGCATTAGGGGATGGAAAAGAGAAGAGTGCCATTTGTTATTTTGTTTGCTACGTGGTGCTTGCTTCTTGAGCAATACACCGATCCTATCCATCTTAAAGAGAAGTTGCTATTTCATAGCGTCGTTTGGTACGTAGAACTTTATCTCATACTCCCTCCGTCCACAATTGTTTGGCAGATATACTAAAAATAGATATCCAAGATTAATTGTCAATTTAAACAATCAAGAAATAATTAGTCAATTTTTTACAATTCTGCCTTTAATGATAGTGTAGTTCAATTGAAAAGTTAGGTAGACTTTTGGTATTCTTGGTATAGTAGGATTATATTAGTCAAATTACATCTTGTATTAAATTTTTCTTGAGAGATGTGTATGACCTTACCCTCACAAACAATTGTGGATGGAGGGAGTATTTAATTTGAAGTATTATTTGTATCATGATGGTGATAAGGGTCTGGAGATTCATACCATTCAATTTTCTTCTAGTTTATCTTTCAACTCTTTTATATGTTTGCCTTTTTTTATATTTTGAATTTTTAATGAATATCTAACTTTGTTTTGGTGTCACATAAAAACTTGAATAAAATAATATCATGGATATTTTTGTTCATCCAGTCCTACGTACCAAAACAGTTTCTAGAATCTAGAGCGTCTTTCATTTTATTATGAAGAAGACTTGTTAGTCCGAGTAATTGTATCTGAAACTTACATCATGAATGGCAATTATCAAATATCGTTTGTGTTTCAATTTACGTGATATTTTTTATTTTTTGAGCGTTAAATTATTTAAATTCGATCAGAAATTTGTGCATGAAATCTTCAATTTCTTTGAAATGAAATTTATATATTTGTAAATTACGTAAAAAGTACAATAAATCACAATAATTGATAATTCAAAATATTTAAGAGATCTATGAAAAACTTACGATCAAAGATAGACCTATTTGAATCTCGGAATCCGAAAAGGGAAGGAGTATAATTTAGTTCCACCCCTAGCACTTTGCCTAGAAGGTAAAAGAAACAGAAAAAGGAAGTATGGAATTATGATCTATATTTCTGTATGAACAAGAAGTTAGCTGCTATCATCTGCAAAATGAAGAGATTATGGAGTAACTTGGGTAAGCATCTAAAGCCTTAATAATAATTGAATTAGCAGTAACAACTTCAGATTGACAACCTGTGTTCAATAAACAAATAAAAATATAACTAAAAGATCCTCACATTCGACAGCATATACAGACAGTACAATCAGTTAGACACCATTTAACTTTAACTGACCAGTTTCTCAGTCCCCTAGTTAGTGATTCAAAGTTAGACAGACGCACCCGGTAGCAAAGTGAAGGGAACATGTAGGTTAGGCTAAGGCTTTCTTTTTTGGTATCCAAGATGTTGATTGAGATAACCATCTTCTTAAAAAATGTGACCGCTTGAATTCTGGTTTAGGAATTGCATCCTCGTCTTGAAAATCACCATTTTTTTTGCTCTTCTCTTGGTGGTCAATGTTGCTATTAACTTCAACATTCCCTTCATGAGCATTTGAACTGGAAAAAAAATGGTTAGGGTGCCACTTAAGTTCTGTTCTATGACAGATGAAAAGTGTGTGCATACAAACATGTAGTGAGTACATACTAAATTTCTGCTATGTAACAGATAAGCAAGTGTAAACATACAGATATGCAGTGATACAAGTAATAGCCCAATGTGTACTCTCAGCAATTGAAACATCAGTTATTTGCTGGTTACTCATCTCTCACTTTAGTTTAGTAGCGAAGACAAAATATCAGCCTCTTTTCATGGATTAGTCTTCCCAAAATTCAGTGAATCTCATGTTACCCCTTCTAGAGCAGAAGATGGTTCACTAGCATCCAGCAAAAGAAAAAAGGGAAAGCAACCAGGTTTCAAGTCTTGACTAATATTTATATCAAAATGTCTGATTGTGCTGGAGTAGGGGGGAATTGGAGCATCAAAATAACACACATATGAACTATGAAGGGGTATCAACTATGTGTTCAAGTCCGTTAAATTTGCCATCTACAGAAAAGAAAGGTCACAAATTTTAGGCATACCATTCCATAGAGCATTGTTTTTTTTGTTGATGAAGTAAGTGAGATAAAGCATCCAGTAGATGCAAAGATACAAAAGGGGGACATACATAGAGCATTGTTTGGACTGGTCACATTGGCTATCCAGTCTTTGTTTAGCTGGCCTGTACTCCAACGTGACATGCTGTGCAAATTGAAGCTGCAGACTCCAAGCAAAAAGAAGTTAAGGTAAGAAGCATAAAATGTAGTTAGTGTATTGGGAAATCATTCTCGAAGTTCACAGGAGCATTATAGTTAGCAAGAGCTTGATTATGAAGCATTCAAATCATGTATGTGTATTTGACTGTTTGTGTGTGTGACTATATGTGTGTTTGTGTGCAAAACAGTTACGGTTTACTAGAATATATGTGTGTTTGTGTGCAAAACATAGAGCAGTGCTGGGTACAGATCGAGTGTTCATTGCTTATTCTAGTAAACCGTAACTAGCAACATTTATCAATTCAGAGCACATCGAAAGCAAATTTATATTGAAAAGTAAGGGTGAGGTTCCTATGCCTCAAATCTACATGTAACCTCACTAGGAAAATAGCCACCATTGCTGTCAATACTAGATGTTAGTACCTTATCTGAGATTCCACTCATATGAGTGTACCGTTAAATCGTCTTTCACCAAACACTTGAAAATATTTAAATTTCTAGCTTAGTTTTGTCATAAGAACCAGCTATAGATAGGCATAGAACCTTAGTTGGTTGTTCATCGATGAAGTGTGTGACCATCTCATCTAAAAGTGTAAGTTGTTAGAGAGAATATACTTATATCATTTAATTGTATTCTCAACACACCCTCTCACGTGTAGGCATGGTTCTTTTTCATGGGCCAAAAGCACTTGGAAATATACTATCTCGGGACTCTTCTGCATGTTGATACCATGATGAAGTGTGTGACCATCTCATCTAAAAATTTAAGCTGTTAGAGAGAGCACACTTATATCATTTAATTCTTTTCTCAACACTCATTAATCAATTCTAGTTCAAAGATCCAAAAATATTATGGGGCTGAAGACAAGAAAAATTGTATCCTTATAGACAAATTCTTTGCTTTAGTCCAGAAAATGTATATGGTTCTTCAAGCCCTGACTGCATAAGAGCCCCCACATGGCTATCCATCTAACAAAACTCATCAAATATAATACTATTTCCTTTTCCTCGTGTCAGTCAATTCGAATTGCAACAAACGAGTTGTTAGTCTACCACAAGCCACTAATACATTATACATAGATGTGTTACCTTGTGAAATTTGATTATGGAAAAAAGAGGTATTCAGAGTTAGAAACGAGCTGTATTTAGATTCCCAATCAGTAACACGAAAAACGACTGACCTGATCACCATCTTTCATACCAAAACAGTTGATAAAAGTTTTGTCATTCACAAGTTTTTGACTTCCATAGCACAAACAGAAGTGACTCCATACTAGTGACCTGCATCAATAGGCAATACAACTTTAAGATCTACCTTATTCGCAGCAAGACAGAAGATCAACAATTCTTCAAATTTCAGTTTATTCCTTTTATTTTCAGCCATTCTGCATTAACATGATTGCAATCATTGTCATCGAAAACTTCAAATACCAATTATCAGCAAGCAAGCTAAAGTGATGAAATCTTCTATTAAATAACCAATTCTGGAATTTTCTTAACTATTGCAGCAACAAATTGTAGACTTTGAACCCATTCTCATAATCATATTATCACAGCACATCGACGGAGTTATTATTCATTTTTATCTGTTAACACAGTGCAACAAAGGCACGTCTCCAGTATGGTGATTGATTCCTTCTCGACAAGGGCCGGATCTAAGTCTTAAAATCAATAGATTAACAATTGGCAAAGTCTACTACAATAGCATACCCCCTCGGCTAAACCAGTTACAAGGGCGAGATAATCCTCTTTTTTCACGTGGTATCAACGATTGTAGAAACAATTAGCGTTCATTCATACCATAGAATCTTGCCTTCATCCTCCCGCGAGAAATTGAAAGCTTCCTCAACTGCTTGTTTAAGGTCTGCTACTGTAGCATTCCTCGCTACATGGATAACTATTCAAAATTCCAGCCAAACAACCAGCATTAGCCATAATTATTCCAAAACAAAATGCAACAAAATAAAATACTACTCCAGCATTTATCTAATTTTACCAAATGAAGAGCCATCCAATTTGAGGACGGAGATATTGAGTAGCTGTTCAGGGAGTTTACGGTAACCAAAACTCCGAACTAGTTTTTTGCTTAGCGGAAATGGAGTCCAAACCCTAGAACTCCGATTTTGCAACTGAAAGCACGCTATGATCTTCACCATTATCAGCTCGCTTCGAAAATCCTTGCAGTTTTTATTTTGGCTTAAACAGGGGAAACAAGTGAGTGAAAACAGAAACTGAGAGGCTTTCGGTTTTTTAAAGAGATGACCGTTAGCAAGGGTCACGTTTTTTAAGTAGAAGGACGAATTTATTTCAACACGCGCGGTCAGTTAATTCGCTTTTATGAAACCGCGCGGGCGTATATTATCGATAAAAATAATTAGTGTTTTAATTATTCACCACTAGAGTTCATATCAAATTAATTAATGTTACTTTTATTACTTCCTCTATCCTAATTTATGTGACTTATTTTTCTTTTTAGTAAGTTCAAAAAAGAATGACACATTTCTATATTAAATAACAATTTAACTATAAAGTGTCTATTTTATTCTTAATGAAATAATTTATAACCATACAAATTTCTATCATTCATTTTGGACCACAAGTTTTAAAAGTCTTCGTTTCTTTTTTAAACTTCGTGTCGAATCAAACTACCTCACATAAAATTGAACGGAGGGAGTATTAGTTATGATTAATTAATATATGTTATTGCCTTAATATTTATTAACTATAATAAACAATAGTGATTTGATTTAACACTGACAATTCAAGCGTGGAAGGTGACAAAAAGAAAAGGTAGATCTATGGTTACTGGAAAAGTTAGTAGAGGAAACGGGCATTTGGCAATTTGTTCAGTGTTCGGATGTGACTTGAGAGAACATTTTGAAGAAAATTACTACTAGAGCAAACGATTTTGAAAATTTTGTTTGCCTCTCTAGATAACTAAATTTTATTGAATTTAAATTATATCAATCTAAATAAATATTGTGATTTGATATTATTTGATTAATTAAGTGTAATAAATATAGATTTAATTGAAGTTCAATTTCATTAGGTTAGTCCGTCAATTGGGATATAATTGATGAGTCACATACCTAAGCTTAAAATATCATCTTATTCTAGAGACCCAATTTAGTGTGATATATCAAATGACATGCCACTCCGAGTCAAACAAATGAGTTAATAGATAAATCTATTAGATTTCAAGATGATTAGGAAGTATCATATAGTTTTTTTTATCCGTTTTTAATTAAATTCTTTCAATTTTCAGGGAATTCATTGATTCTTTTAAAGTTGTCATTTCTAATTTTGAAGTTATATGAAAAGGAGTAATTGATGATACCTTCAAAATTTTAAATTTTCTTAGAAAAATAACTAGTTTTGTTATCAATAATTCAATAAAGTCTAGAAAATAGTATGAATTTTTTTTTTATAAAAAAATCATTGAAATAAAGAATTTGACTGGAGAAGAAGAAGAAGAAGAAGAAAAAGAAAAGAAAAAAAATGAGAAAGAGGTTCAACTTGACGTGGGGGGTGGGGTGAGGGTGGGAGGTGAACAAAAAAAAAAGAAAATGGAGGGATGGATCACTTGAAAGTGGGGTGGAAGATGAAGTGAAATTTAAGGTGAAATCAAAATTAAAATAAATCAAAATATAAGAGAGAGAAAAATAAAGAAAAAACTTAAAATGAAAAAAATTACATTTTTAATTAAATTAGCATGTGTCATGCAGTGGCGAAGCCAAGAATTTCACGAAGGGTGTTCAAAAAAAAGGGAAAAAAGTTGTTGCTAGTGAGATTCAAACACATGAGCACTTAGGGATCTTTCAAGACATCTAAAATCACTAGGCTACAACACTTTTTTTTGTCAAGGATGTCCAAAATATGTTATTTAATCAATTCGTATATCATTTTACTTATATAGGGTATTATTTTCCGATGAATTGGACACCCTCACTATGGGATAGCTATGCCCTTGGTGTCATGTAATGATTGGTGTATGAACACAATTATTTCTTAAAATATGGGGCTGATTGAAAATAATATAATAATATCTGTTCAAAATTATTTAGTGGAGTAATAAGACAGTTGCAAAATTAAAGTGTCCTTTTTAAAAGGCAAAAGGGTCTGGTGGACCCTTGTACTTGTATGTGTTTGTATTATGGATTCTTTTACTTAACCCTTTACCAACTAAACCTCTAAACTCAATCAAAAAATGATTGTTAAACCCTTCTTACCATGTCTATTGCTCTCTCTTCCTTGAATAGATGACATGTCAAATTCATGTCACTTAAATTAATACCACGTTATAATTATATGTATTAACTATTTTTAAAAATTATTAATTTTTTCTTTAAAGTAAATTTTGGGTCTCCACTCATCTTCTACCCGATCCAGCCATGAAATGGCCAAAATCCGCCGGAGAAAGTTGCCACAGCCACCACTCCTCTTGCCGGCGAGACCACAAATACTTTCTCCCTCACACGTCTCTATCTCCATCGATCACTTTCTACATTTTCCTTTCATTCTTCTCCAACCTCCATAAATCTAAGCTGCCGCACCACAACTCCGGTGGCCAAACCTCTTCACCCGGCATGACTAGCTCCTCGCCGCTCACCCGCCTCGTTCTCCCCTTCACTGTCTTTCTTTCTCTGCACCACCAGTGATCCCCCACAAAACACCAAGGACTGCCTATCATCACCGCCTCCCTCAAACCAGAAGGAGACTCCTTGTCCGCTTTTGTCGAACCAGCATGCCATGGGACTCCTTGCCGCCTCCGGCGTATGGATTGTCAGAAGAAAATGAAAAAAAAAAAGGTTGAGCAAGGATGGGGATACCTGAAAAAGTAGGTGGGTGGGGTGAAGAAGAAGGTTTTTTAATTTTTATATTAATTATTTATTCTTTTATAATTTTAATATTTTATAATTTTAAATATGGTGTACACTTGCATTAACACACGTGTATTCACGCTCTCTAGCCAACTCAGCCATCTTAATGCCACATAAGTATGATCAATGGTCAGAGGAATTTAATATATTGAATATTATTGAGTTTAAGGGTCCAGTTGATAACAAGTTAAGTAGAAGGGTCCATAATACAAACGCATACAAGTATAAGGATCGATCAAACCCTTTTGCCTTTCTAAAATTCAGAGCATTTTTGGTGATGACTTTACATCTTTTCATGTTTATTATAGAAAAAACTTAAAAACAAAAAAAACAGACCCCCCTCATATCCTTATCTGTAACAACCCACGATGAATATATCGGAAAGATATTCAAAAGCGCGACATTAGGCGCGTGTTTGTTATCCTCTTACCCGCCTTCCATTCCCTATCAACATCACACCAAAGTCTCAAGTTTATGCTACTCTCTCTAAAAGAAAGGCCCCAAAAAGAAGGAATATACTACAAAGCAAAGTAGCGAACAAGAAAAACTTCGAATCTCAATAGCCTATCCCCTTATCTCTACGCTTAGTATCTTTCAAAAACCCTAAATCCTATATCCCGATCACAGAATCAGATGAATTTATTTGATTGAGAAATTGAAGAAGGTGTTGCTGTAAAAGTTCAATTTGATTTGGACATTATACAATGTCTGCGATGGTTTACGGCAAGAGATCATTCTTCGATGATTTACAATCGCCGTCGCCGACTTCACCATCGACGCCTGTTTCAAAGAAGCTCCGGTGTTCCTCCACCTCTCCGAGAAGATTCTCGCCGCCGCCGCCAGCGGCAGTTTCCATTGATCATCTGAGAGCTTTGTTTCCCGATGTAGATTGTCAGGTATGATCCTCTTACTTTATCTGGCACTAGAATTTTGTTGCTGTAAATGTTCGTTAATTGGAGAAATTATATACAGTGTGTTAATGCTTTGTTTTAACGTCATTTAGTTATTGTAAGTAAATTACTCTCTTGTATCGGAATGAAATGCTACGAGTAGAGTGGGATGAATGTAGATGACTTTGTAAGTATTTGTCTGCAATAGTAAAGGGGCTCCGAATAGGTTTGGACGAATGTATATGACTTTGTATGTGTTTATTATCTGCCATACTAAAGGATTAACCGGCTGGATGGGATGGGAGTTGGTTAAGCCTAAAGAATGTCTTTAAGCTCTTTTAGCTTCATCAATATACAAGACATTATTTTCATCATGGAACATTTCATTTCTTAACTACTTTCACAACTTTTAGCAATTCAAATATATTGAAGGCTATTCAACTTTTAAACTCGTGGTGGTGCGTCTTTGTCAAACTAACTTTTAAACATTCATTCTAGTATGTTCCCTCCACGGTCTATGCTACATATTTAAAAGAAAGTAGCTTCTTAAACTTTTTGCTAATACAAATGTTGTGGTGTAAAATGAACTGGAGAGTATTAGTTAGTTCTTTCACATGATTTGATTGCAATTTTGATAATCTTTTCCTATAATATCAAGCAACGCTCAATTATTTCAATTAAATTTCTTCGTGGTCTTTTCTACGATAAGAATATCAAAAAATGCAATCAATTATTACTTAAAAGGTGCAAAGATTTGATTGTTTATGTATTCTGTATTTCCGTTAAGAACTCTGTTGTTGCTTTTGTTTAACGAGTTTCTGGGTACCAAGTGTTTTGTTATATACTGTTCAGTTTCTTGAGAAAGCCTTGGAGGAATGTGGCAATGATTTGGATGTTGCTATTAAGAGACTGCATGAACTTCATCTTAGTCATGCACATGGAAAGTCAGTTTCTGCCTCAGAAGCTGATGGAGAGATGGACGGTGGTATGTATAAATGTTATGTTCGATATTTGAGTGCTGATTAAGGAGATGCTAGTTTTTTCTCATTTTTATTACTCCGTTCATGTCAAAATGATTCCTAAGTCTCTGAAGTTGGAGTGGATACATATCTACAAATATGTATGTTATTGACTGTCTCGCTAATGGCATGGTATTGCAAAATTGCTCCAGGAAAAGGTCAACCATATCCCTTCCATCAGAAAAAAAGGATACTGGTTGATCAACCTAAGTACTCCTAAATAGGGTTTAGTTCTCACTGATATGACAGTGGTTTTTATGGTGTTTACTGGTCGTTGATATGGACATTTTTTTCTGGAAATTTCTGGTCCTATCTGCTCCTCATAATTGCTACTCGTTTTAATTTTTGCTACTTCTCCTCATCAATTTTTTTTATTGCTACTTCTCCAACATGATTTTAGGGTATAGGACCCTGTTGATATGAACAGAATTGTAAATAGATTAACTAAAAACACAATTTGGAGTTATAAATTAGAATATGTACTAGATTGTTATTTTTTACTTACCATGATTTTTGAAATGCCCACTTAGCAGCTTATTCACATCTTGTTAACCAAGTCTAGATTTTCATCAATTGTGGAGGAAGGAATCTTATTTGCATGCAGAATTTGCAGGTATAGTGAACACTGCTTTTGTCATAAATAATCCTCCAGCTGATGGCACAGAATGGGTGGAGTTGTTTGTGAGGGAAATGATGAGTGCTACAAGCACAGATGATGCCAGGGCTCGTGCAACAATAGTGTTGGAGAGCTTAGAGAAATCCATTAGTGCTAGTGCAAGTGCAGAAGCAGCTCAAAATTTTCAGAAGGTTGGTATTGTACATTTAAGTATATTGTAGTCTATAGATTTACCAGACAACAAGTTCCCTGCTAAGGAGTTGTGGATGATATTTATCAAACATACTTTTCTGGTGTATTTACTATTTTACTCAGAGGAGTTGAGCTAGAAAACTATTTTGGCGATGCCTATATTGTTGGCTCTTCAATGCATTTTATGAGCAGATTTCTGGCTACTGTAGTGCTCCACTAGTAAGAGAACAGCAATTTTAGTCATGTTTGCAAAATTTACCTTTTTGACATACTAGTTTATTGACCATTGCCTGTCATTTTTCAATATCCACCGTTTATTTTCCAGGAAAATATGATGCTGAAGGAGCAAATAGAACTGATTCTTCGAGACAATATCATTCTGAAACGTTTAGTGGCCATCCAACATGAACGACAAAAGGAGCACAATGATGATAGGACCCAGGAAGTGCAGCAGCTGAAGCAGTTGATTGCTCAATATCAAGAGCAATTGAGAACTCTCGAGGTAAAAACTGCAGCTTCATATATTATTTTTATTGCTTCAATGCACTATAAATGGAGATGTGTTTTTAATTACAACAATAACAAGAGATCAGAATTATTTTTGTTTACTGATATTAGTGCCATTAATGCAAGTTTTATTCAGAAGTCTTACATCTGAGGACAAGCTTTTAAAGGATATCGTGGCAAAATTAAAGATTTAGAAAGATAAAGAAATACTTTATTAAGAGATGGGAGATGTAACTTTTGAAAGGTAAAGACTCCTACAGAAGGTATGTAGCACCTTGAGGAAACGCTAGCATAAACTTCACATGGGCTAAGAAGAAAGATGGAAGCTAAATCACAATGCTCTTAACAAAAAATTTAGTACTGCTATTAGCAACATGAAACAACCATAGAAGAGAGAGTGTTCAACATTCTTGCAACTAATGTTTAAATGCTAAACTTCTCTACTGAATGCCATTTCATCCTTGCATGGAGACACTTCAACATTTGCAAAATCTAATTTCGAAAAAATGCTTAACCTTTGAACTACTGAATCTGAGTGCGGACTTCCTCTTTAGAAAGCACTGGAGATTTTCTTCTTTTTTTTGGGTTGAAAAATACTACTTTTATCACTCAGGGTATTGCTTTGAGATTTTAGTTAATATAATAGTTATTACTCAGTTACTCATTTGCTAAAAGACAATGGATAAAAGGTATTGAGATAAACTTTGGGTAATGCACTCTAGTATTGTTTGGTGAAACATGTTTACATCAATTCAAACTAGTAGCCATGTAGTTTCCAATAAAAAAATCGTGACACAACAAACTCAACTATTTGCATTAGCATTATTGTTGCTCACATGAACTCAACTATTCTCCCCATCATAAGGAGACTTCTTCAGGTTCTAAGTGAGCGAGATATAAGTTACTCCAGTCTTTAACTTTACTGACTTCATGGTCATCTTTGCAGGTCAACAATTATTCTTTGAAAATGCATTTGCAGCAGGCTCAGCAATGCAACTCTATCCCTGGACACTTTCATCCAGATGTCTTCTGATATTGAAATCTGTTCAAATAAGGAGATTGAACCTAGAAAGAGATTAAGCTGGTTGGCGTTATGCGAGTGGTGGTATAGGATGTTCAAGTTAATTTGTATCATATCTGTTGGTCTCTGAATTATAGGTTATGTTGAGTTGAGCCCACTGGCGTTGATATTCTAACAAAGTATCATGGGGCATTGATAGTATGGCCTAAAAAGGAGTTGTGTATCAAAGCTGTTTTTCAATTCAGATGCGTCACCTTTTTCCTGTGCAAAATCAATCAGTTCATATTTTACGCATAATATAAGATACATTACTATGACTGTAATGTTCAACTAAATTTCGGACTGCTTTCTTGGTGTGAACCATCCCGTGCTAAGGAGTCGTGAAACCTTGCCGACATTTGCATTGCACTCAGATTTTTACCTTTCTCCTGAAAAGAAGAGACCAGACTCGCAACGTAAAATGATGGAACAACGTTACATTTAAAATAGCAATTAGACTGCAATTATAAATGGGCCAAGTAATGATGGGCTTCTTTATTCCCTATTGTGAGCCTCCAAAAAAATTGATCTAGTTTTGGTGGGGTGCGCCAGGCCCGTGCAGTAGTGCAACGCATGGGCGACGCTTGAGAGCCCAGGTAGCAAGCTACCTTGATGGACTCTCCCCCTTGAAAAATTGAGTTAATATCGTGTGGACCAATGGCCCACATATCAGATATTAAACTGATAAGAACAGATACTACACTTGATCTTAGCCAAAAGGCCGAGAAAGGTATGCCTTATCCCATTCCCGGGCCTTCGTTTTTATACCAGTTCTTTGTTGTCTTCTTCTTAGCTTCTCCGATGTGGGACTAATTGGCCACTACAAAAGCTAAGCATTTTAACTCTTCCATTTGTTAAACATAAACAAGTATAAATTTAGTTGTATCTACCTTTTCCATGAGAGATATTTCATATCGGGCTCATGTAAAAGATGAAGTTTTAAATCTGAACGTTACTCGTAGTTAAGAGCTTAATCTATAATTAAGGAAAAAAAAAGATCCTAAGAAGCTGTTGAAGAAGCTAAAGAGTGTTATGATCTTGCAAACTAACTCTGTTCAATATCTCCCCCAACGCTTCTAAGGTGAACTTGTACCGATCATATGATTTTCTCCCCTCCTCCACCAACTTCACAGTACACTTGTACAAATTATCATACCTGTGAACTGGATTCTTGGTGTCAATAAAATTGCAGCTGTAGTCAAGAACATAGCTACGGTGAACATCCTTTCTCCAGCGTGAGAGAATGTACTGAGGTGGGATCTCCTTGAAACCATTCTGACTTAGAACACATAATGTGTGCCTGCACAGGAAGCCCTCCAGGTTGAATAAACCACATCCACAAAGAACATCAGCAACATCTGTATTAAACGTAACCTCATAATCTTTTGCTTCATTCATATTCTCAACTTCACGTTCCTTAACAATGTATGTTATGATAGACCCATCAATACCTACTTGTCTTGTGCTTAAACATGAGAACATTCCCTCTATTTCGATTTGAAATTTAGCAAATATGTGATTGGTGTAGATTTTAGATAGCTGCATTTCAAAATAAAATCTTGATTTCAACATACAACTTGGATTCCTCGATTCTGAATCAGCCAGTGCTTCTCTTTGGTAGATTTCCTTCAGACATTGGTTATAGCCATCAAGGAACTCTTTCAGGGGAGTATGATTAGACAAATACTCATCAAAAGGAGAAGAAAGCTCTCTCTCCCGGAGTATCACACCAAACATCCCCGCTAGAAATGAATCCTTTAAATAGACAGGGACCCAGTGTTTACGATTTTCGTGGAGTGTCTGGAGCCATTTATGGTCCCTAATTCCATGGCATAGCATCATGTCCTCCCAAGCTGTTTCAAAATCATCTATTCTTGATGATTGGTAAATAGCTTTAGTAAATACTTTCTTGATGACTTCATATGCATGCAACCCACCCAATTCCTCCGGCACTTTCTTCATGATATGCGACAAAGAAATGCAATGAGATGCCCGCGGGAGAACATCAGCGATAGCAGTTTGCATAACTCTAGATTGGTCAATAATGATGGTCTGTGGAGGGCGGCCAACCATGTATGTCAGCCATGCCCTCAACAACCATATAAATGACTCTACAGTCTCTCCTGCAACCAAACCACAGCCTAGTGGCACAGATTGTCCATGGTGGTTAACTCCAGCAAATACCACAAGTGGAACCTCATATTTTGAGATCAAACAAGCAGTGTCAATTCTAATCACGTCACCAAAATAACCATATGTGGCCTTACATTTTGCTTCTGCCCAGAACACATTCCGCAGACATCCTTTCTCATTTAGGTCCATTACATAAAAGAAATCAGGGTTTACCAACTGTAGATCAGTGAAGAAACTGAGAATTGCTTGAGCATCTCCAGATTTAAGAATCAAATGGTTGTTGGACTGGTCAATCGTGTTCCTGAATTCACCTTCATCAATGTTTAATTTTCCATCATCATCTGGATCAATAATGACAGTTCTGAATAACCTAATTTTTCTAATTTTCTTGATTACCAGTCATCTGCAAGGGCCTTTTACTCCCAGAACTGTTGTTTCTGTGAGATTTATAGAACTTTTCAGTTAACGGATGAATGAGGTGGTTGTGTTCAAGTTCAACTTCAATTATTCTCCATCTTTTGTTCTCCATCAATCTGAACTTGATCATAGCTGGACAGCCAGTTCTTGTCTCAGGTCTGGGCCGATTTGCTTCACTTTTCTTTTTAAATCCTGCACTGCTGCAGCTTAGTTTTCCTCTATACCTTTCCCTACTCTTCCTATACCATGTATTACTCACTCTGACCCCGAATCCATGCGCTTTAGCATAACAGTTGTAAAAGTAGTACACATCCTCATATGTCTCGAACTCCATTCCAACAGTCGGAGGAACAGGATTTTCGCCTTCAAGAACACCAGACTGACCAGCGTACTCCGTCATCGCACACTCTCCATCAATATCGAATTCCTCAGTTTCATCATCAAAGATGGCAGCATTGAGTGAAAGACCATCCATTTGGAGTGTTGCAGAAGCATCGACGTCAAGCTCTGTAATATATTAAGAAGAGGATAGGTCAAAGGTGGTCAAAACAACCCCTAGAGTGGAAGGTGGGAGAAGAAGAAAAAAGTGAAACATAGAGCAAAAACATCAATTATAGATAATGATGTCAATAAGGAAAAAACTCCAGATGTATTTCTCCCCCAACTGTGGATCTAATGACAGGCTTAGTGCTATTTGGAATATAGTTAGTATATAATATTGTGATGTATCTTTCAATCCAGGAAATAAGTGTGTTTTTCTGTGGGAGTTCTCCTATACAAGACTTTGAGTTGTATTTTACAATATCAGAAACTCTGCTTACGCTGGTCTAGCTTTCAACTTCAATATTGGCCTGAAGTATGAGAAAGCCATAAGGTTGTAAAAAAGAAGAGTATATAGCTGCCATTTATCCATTTCAGCATTATATTTACTTCTTAGTTTATCTGTAGGAATAGTTCCTTTGTTTCTACCTTTCGGTACACAGGCAAACACCTGAAGAAAAAAAGTTCATCTAGCAGGAAAAGAATTGATTAACGATTAATATTGCTATTATGTAGGCTAATTTTTCAACTTATAAGCGATAATTTTCACTCAAGAAAAATAAATGTCTAAGGGAAAAGATCAATGTGACTTCTTCTTTACTTTCACAGTTAGAAGAAACAGCTGCATAACTAGAGACTATTGAGAACTAGAGATAGAACCACTCAATCGACCAACATGAAAATGAGATAGGCCACAGCATACTATCATTGAGTTGTCCGTGTTGCTGACATACATAAATGTAAAACTCATCTGCCGGCATGATCTTCTTAATATCACGTCCATTAGAGCATTGTTTTTATTTTCTTTTTGGCCCTAATATTATTAGTTAAACTTTGAAAATGAACTGTGTCTTTCCATGGCAAGTTCACTATATAGGACTCCAACTCACTATTACTCAAGTACTTTCATCTCTAAGTTTACTCCTTTGCATGCTCATCTTCTTCCGCACTGGGATATATGCGCATCTATCATCCAAGTATAAAATGCCTTGCTTTTGGTTCTTCGTTTTTTTCCCTGTGTACATTCCTTTGTGGGCACAGTCGAGGGTGGGAAGGTGGGGAGTTTAAGCTTTACGTGAATGTTTATCTCATTGACAGTATAGTAGCTTACAATAACAATTCGACATATTTCAACTCCAAACTCCTATGAGTCAGTAATGAGGGTGAAAAAGAAAATAGGCAACCAAACAAGGCAATAATGTTTATTTAAGTTCTTTCTCATCCTGTTTCTATATGCAAGAAGCATCAGAGTATTTACTGCTGTAGATACAAGCATTTGTCTTACCCATAGTTACATGTATCTTTAGGCAACCACATACTACTGGTTCTATTGTGAGCACTAATTTATTCGAAATCTAATGTACCTCCAGGCCTACCCAAAAGATAAAAATAGTTCTTAGGATCTGTCTCAGTATAAAAAGTACTTGATAACCTTTAAGTTGAGTCTTCTCAATAAAGGAAATAAATAGCCTATTTTATCATCGGGCTGATAAAGAAACTACAGAGAATTTGAACTATTGATCTAAATAGACAAGAATTGAACAGCGCTACAAAACCATATTCCTAGTCAAGAACTAAAAAGAGAATATCAACATCCTTGGGCAGAAAAAAAAGGTTCAACTTTGAAAAATGAACTTCAGATCATAACAGAAAAAAACAACTGTCTTCTCAAAATTACCTTTGACTACAACAAAATACCCAGTGTAGTTCCACAAAGTGGAGGGCTGGGGAGGTTAGTATGTACGTAAACCTGACGTTTGCTTCAGAGGTAGAGCTGTTATTTCCGATATACCCTCAGCTCAAAATTAACTATGACTATAAGCTAAAAATACACCGCAATGAAAACGTCAAGCACACTAATGCTACCAAAGAAATAATCATAGGAAGTTTAATTTATAGTTAGTACTTAAATATACATTATATTTCTGAATGGAAAACTGGGAGTAGACATTTTTACAGATGAAAATTTCGGAGATAAAGCTTACTAAAAGCGCCCTATACTATCTGAGCACAGATCAGAAATTTCATATCAAAATTACAATAGCTAACAGTTAAGGTCAATTGGGTATGTACAGACTAATATAGAGATCACTTCTGGGAGTGAGAAGTGAAGGGTTAAGGGACAACAAAGAGAAACTAAAGAATTGCTAGTTTGTTGAGAACTTTGAACAAATTAACCTGCAATTTCAGATAAAAACTTCCCACCTGAGCCACTGGCGGACGTTTGTCTTTCAGCAAAAAATGGCGATAGTTGATTTTAAGCTTCTAAGCTGCCACCTGCAGGCTAAAAAGGAAACAAAGAACAATATTTTATACATGAGTATTTTCGAATAGTAGTACTAATTTTAAGGGCAAAATATGAAAGAAAAAAAAATTAGTTCTCTTTTAATTTTGTAAATTAAAAGCAAATAATTTAAAATAACTATTTTTCGTAATGTGGACAACTAATATGAGGTGGACGGAGTATTTATTTAATGGGGATGGTGGTTGCAAAAACAAATGATTTGAAATGACAATTTTTAGTAATATGGACAACTAATATGAGATGACAGAGTAGTGGTCGTTTTTGGTGGTTGGTTAAAAAAAAGTGAAAATAATTTTTGAAAAATGTCTATATTGAAGTACTTAGT